TAACTTCTCTAATCCTGTTAAATTCCAAATTTCTGAACCCTCTATCAATTTAAATTGTAGAACTAACATAAGTAAGGCAGAGATAGCTTCTCTTAGCAAAGTTCTATTCACTTTCACTTATTCTTGCAAAATGGTGCATTCTTATTTGTAATCTTACATTTAGTAAACCTTTCTAAAAGCAGCAAGGACTACTAACAGTTGGGTTTTGTCCAGTATTTGTCACTATCACTGAAGTACATACAGGCCTATAGCCTGCCTTCCAAATTGTCATTGGCAATGGCATAACAAAGGTCATCTGCTTTCTACCACATGTTATGCTTTTCTTCATCCTCTCTATCCTCTTACTAAGCTAATGCTCCATAGTTTGGGGTTTTAATAGCAGATCCACACTTCTACATATGGATTTCTATGTTCAAGTAAACTGTTGTAACAGAGATTCAGAACTCAGTGACTTGTACACTATAAACAAATTTGTTTTTCTCTTAACAATCCCTGAGGTAAGCAGTAGTGTAAATTCTGCTCCATGTGACCATTCTCAGGCAGAGGTGCCTCCCATGTTGCAGTCCATGACTTCCTGAGGCACTGTCTTCATTTGCATGGTAGATGCTAGATCATCACTCTGAGTGCATCTACAAGCTGAGAAGGTGAAGACATGCAAGTCCAAGATGAGGAGCTTGTTTTTAGATTGGAAATGACCTTGGTTGCCACCTTCACTTCTGCACACATCCCACATTTACAACTTAGTCACAAGGACATGTCTAGCTGGAAGGGTGGCTGGGGATTGTATCCACTTCCTGTGCAGCCATTTGTCCAAGTAAAAATTTTTCTGTTAAAGAAATGAGAAGTGATATTTTAATAAGCAAATGTATGGACTCTGGCAGAATCCATTATGATTATTAGCCATCATTTTTTCCATTATCTTACATTACCCATCATTTTACAAATGTCTTGTATGTTTCATTTTCCCTTTTTTAGAATTCTGAAAGTTAAAATTCCCTCTTGGTGTGTATATATCATTTAAAATAGGCAATAACTGCAGCTTCTTTAATATGAGAAGAGTAGTCTCTCTCACTACTGTTCTTTTTCTCTCCCTTATCTTCATCATTTAAATTAAAATTGGAATCCAGTGAGAAACATATTAATGGCACCAGCTAGTGTTTGCTGTTACTGGTCTTCATATACTGCACTTTGGGAAACATAATCAGAGGTTTACTCACAGAAAAATTATTGATTGTGAGAAAGCCAGGAAGAAGCTTCTGTCAAATCCAGCATTTTTCTCTACACCCATATAAATGGGAATGCTGCTTGTAAATCATTTTCCCATGACTGCTACTTCTTGATCATCCAGGGAATCAATGTAACAACTCTCAGGAATTTGGTACACCTATGTGAGGATTCTAAATTGGGTTGCATCATTTCTATTAAATGTGAAAGAAGAAATAAACATCCAGCCTCCAGCCAATGGTGTTTGCTTTGTACGATGTCAAATCACTAGAAGGATGGGGAGAAAAACACATTGTCATACATTTTTCCTAGGTATTTTGTATGTAAATATCCTGGGCAATGAGGACTGAGTAAGCTAGGCAATCTTTTTTCAGCCTCTTTCAGCTACAATTGAAGTTAGTGCATTATAAATTGCTTCCGAAGATAAAAATGACCAAACTTCTTTCTGCCTCTCTTTTCATCTTTGACATATAGTCTTGTATTTTCTTTTTTCTTTTCTTTTTTTTTTTTTTTTTTTGCTTCTCCTTCCTTACTATCAATGGAATTTCAAGTACTTAATATAATGAGACCTATGGGATTGCCTTGAGGGATAATGAGAACCACATTCTCAGAGAACATATAATTGTAGGGCCTGTGTCTTCCCTTTCAACCTTTGGCCTCTATCCCCTGTCCTCAGCTCTTACACAATTTGGTATTTGATATTAAGATATTTTTTTTGCCACACTTTTATGTACTTAAAAGGAATTAGTAATCTTGAGATAATTTATAAATTAAGATTCAGGCAAGGGACAATGATCGATACTTAACTTTAAACCAAGGAGCTTATTTGCAAGAAAAATATAAAATGTCATAAATACTTACAGATCCCTTGGTAAGACTAAAATGTATAAATTCATTCTCCAAATACTAACTCAAATCAAAATAATTTTCACTTATTGTACAGTATTTTTAAAAATTATGACTTGGTTACATTAAGCTACTCATTTAAATAGTGTCTAATCTCCTATGAGCAGTTCATTCTTTTGTTCTATAAATATTTATAGAGTAGCTATAATGTGCCAAACATTGTTCTAAAAAATCAGCCTGAAACAGTTAGAACAAGTGAATACAGGAGAGACCAAGTTTTTATACCAAGGAGCTTACATTCTGGAAATGAGAAACAGCAAAATAAACAATGTGCGTTTGTGTGTTTGTTTATATAATCCATATGGTGCTTATGATAAATGCTAAGAACAAAGCAAAGTACGGGTGGATGAGTACTAGTTTAAATAGATTGATAACCAAGAGTTGGAACCAACCTAAATGTCCATTGTTAGATGACTGGATAAGGAAAATGTGGTATATTTACACAATGGGAAAAAAAATGAAATACTTCCATTCACAGCAACATGGATGAACTTAGAGAAAGTTATGTTAAGTGAAATAAGCCAGGTACAAAAAGACAAATACCACATGTCTTCACTCATAAGTGGAAGCTAAAAAATAAGGAAATAAATTTTAAAGAAAGAAAGATACAACAATCACAATAATACATTGAACTTTCAAAAGGAGAGAACAGAACTGAGATTACCAGAGATGGGAAGGGGGGCGGGGAGTAAGGGAGGAATTGGTAAAGGGCCACAAAAAATGATTACATTGTATAATGTGGAATATACTATAATTATCCTGATCTGAGCATCACATATTGCACACAGGTATTAATATTCAACTCTGTACCCCATAGATATATACAATCAACTGTGTTACAATAAAAAATAAAAATAAAGAAAAAAAAATTGACCAGAGAAACCTCTCATAAGTGACATTTGAGTGAGTTCTGAAAGAATGAAAAGAAGGAAATTAGACATTTAGAAAAAGTATGTTCCAGGTAGTGGAAAAAAGTAAATAAAAAGGCCCTGGGACAATAATCTGTTTGTCATGTTCGGGAAACACCTAGAAGCCCAGTGTGCCCTGAGTAGAGTGAGAAAAGGGAAAAGTGATCAAGGATGAGGTCTGAGAAGTTTTAGGGGTCGAACTGTGTAGGCAAAAATAAGAATATTTTTATTATTTTTTCTAAAGGATATGGAAGTTACTCATGGATTTTGACTGGAGCACTAAAATTACCTAACTAATTTCTAAAAAAATAACTTTGACTGGTATGTGAATAATAAAAACAGAGCAAGCAGGGCACAGAGACCGGTTAGAAAAATATTGAGAGATGGTAATAACTTTAGCCACAGTCATAGTTTTAAGGATGTTTAAAATAACTTTGACTGGTATGTGAATAATAAAAACAGAGCAAGCAGGGCACAGAGACCTGTTAGAAAAATATTGAGAGATGGTAATAACTTTAGCCACAGTCATAGTTTTAAGGATGTTTAGAAATGTACAGATTCTGGATATATTTCGCAAATAGAAGTGAAAGAATTTGCTGTTGGATTGAACATTAAGTGTGAGAGCAAGGAGAGGACTTCACAGTTTTTGTCATGAATAACACCAATTAAGGTGTCGTCATTGGTAAAGATGGGAAGAATGCAAAAAAACAGGCTTGAGTTGGAAAGAAAATCAAATTTTTTGTAGTTGGGAATGTAGTAAGTTTGATATCCAAATGGAAATGTACATGAGGCAGTTGGATATATGAGGCCAGAGTAGAAGGGATGTTCCAATAGTGGGGTATAATTTGGGAGTCATCAGAGAAGAGACAGTATTAAAGCCATAAGAAGATCAGATGAGATTGCCTACAGAGTGAGTATGAATAGAAAAGAGAAAATTCTAACAATTGAGCCCAGTGGTCTCCAGGATTAAGTGGTAGAGAAGAATGAAGAAATGAAATTAAGAGACCCAGGAGGGGAGATCTCAGAAGCAAGTGAAGTGTTTGAAGGAGTAGGAGATAATCAGCCATGTTAAATGGTGCTAAGATAAAACGAGGACCAGTTCTTGACCATTGGATTTGAAAATGTCACGATCTTAATAAGATCTGTTTCAGGGAGCATCAAGGACAGCAGCTCAATTGAATGTCTGCAAAAGCTTATGGAAAAAGAGTCAGTGAAAAGAGTTCATTTTCAAGAAATTTTGCTGCAAAGGGACAGAAAAAGAGATAGTCACTAGATGGAGATATGTGGGTGAGGTAGGGCTTTTTAAGGATGGGAGGTATAAAAGATATTTGGATGTTAGTAGACCTGATGCTGCAGGACAAAGTGAGGACAATTGGGTGTGTGGAGACATTAAGTATCCTTGGAGAAAGAAATGGAGTATGAACATCTTTTTGACAGTTATTGAAATGTGGAAGCATCTGGCAAAATATCAAGTGAAAAGAAATAGCTTATATATTTGGGAAGTGCACAGACATGCTGTGAAAGGGATAGAGGAAAATATAAACATAGTTTTAGTGTTTGAAAGTGAAGAAATTGGTGCATATTTCTTAAGGTAACAGCATTGAACTTCATATAAAATTGACCAGATTGTCATCTTACATGCACTGTTTTCTTGGAAATAGATCTTTTATAACTCTTCTCTTGACAAATTTTGAAGTATTATACTTGTGTTTCAGCGCAAATTTGATTTATCAACTTGGAAGATAGAGATAAAGAAGTACTGACGTGGCATGAAAAAATCATAGCCCTCCTTATCAATAACCTGTGTTTTTCTTACTGAATATTTCTTTAGGATTGTATTTTATGCCCAGAGGTTCCTGGGATATTATCTTAGCACACATTTTGCCTTCAAATTCTATGTGAGTTTCTGGGTTGATTTCTCCTGATTGCAGTAACATTGATTGCTGTCTAAATCTGTTGCAGTGTGCCTGAATATTATGACTACGGTCATGGAGTAAGTGAGGATGCCTATGACAGCTACGGTAAGACCTTTTCTTTACTAAAACTGTGAAATCAGAACATCCATCAGTCACTGACAACTCAGAAATTACTTCTATCTTTCTTTCCCCGGTTTTTACAGAAGTCCAGACTAAATTGATTTATGTAATTCCAGGGTGAGATTTGACTTACAGAGCCAGAGCCAGAAAATTGGACAGATCGATTTTTATCAAAATTTCACAAGCAATTAATCATAATCATAGATCATTTTCAACTGCAACAGTGAGCATTCTGAATAATGTCATTTATGTTTCACTGTGTCCATTGTCTGACTCATCGATTTGGCAAAAATATTGTGTTTTTTCTGATGTCACAAAGATCTTCAATGTAATATATGTTTAAAATATTTTAAAACTTTTAAGGGCAGAAATTGTTACTATAAAATAACTTTCAGAGTGTTTTTTTTGAGCATGCATGGCTCTTAAAAGTACCAAATACTGCTTGCCTCATAAAAATTAATAGTCAATAAAATAGTTAGTCTATAATTGTTAGTGTATAAAATTAATTTTTAAAATATATCCTTTAATAAAATATCACTTAAAATTAATCATAATTATATTTTGTAAAGATTTATTGAGTACCAATGATATATCAATATAGTACATCATTTTTTTTTTTTGTCTTTTGTCTTTTTCCGTGTCCGGCAACGGATCGCAACCCTCAGTGTTGCCCCTGTACCGGACCGGGGACCGGCAACGGAATCGCAACCCTCGGTGCTGCTCCCGCGCCTCGCTCAGCCAGTGAGTGGGAACCGGTCTGTATGTGGGATCCAAACCCTCGGGCGGGAGCACTCCCGCGCTTCCCAAGCGGCGCACTTATCCAGTGCGCCACCGGGCCGGCCCTAGTACATCATTTTTAAAGGAGTAGTTTCTGGTTCTTTAAAATACATGTGCAGTGTCACCAGTTGACCTTGAAAAATGACACTCATTTAGATGTTTACAGTCCTGGATTTTTATCAAAATAATACTGAGGCCACTCTGTTCCTCTTTATGGGGTGTGGTAAAGGAGACAATGAATGTCCCGCGCTTCCCAAGCGGCGCACTTATCCAGTGCGCCACCGGGCCAGCCCTAGTACATCATTTTTAAAGGAGTAGTTTCTGGTTCTTTAAAAATACATGTGCAGTGTCACCAGTTGACCTTGAAAAATGACACTCATTTAGATGTTTACAGTCCTGGATTTTTATTAAAATAATACTGAGGCCACTCTGTTCCTCTTTATGGGGTGTGGTAAAGGAGACAATGAATGTCATCTGTGAGTTTAGGGCTGCATATAATTAAATAAGTGTAGTGCTGCATCAGGATAGAGAAGTGAAAGGTCCAGATGTTGGGAGGAAAGGAGGAAGTGTGTCCTCTTTGGAACCAGGGTAAAATCTGACTAATTTCTCTGGGTAGAATATCACAAGGCTGACTCTACAAGTAAGAGGAGAAGAATAAATGACCACCACCACCACTGCCAATCATAAGGTGATTACTTACATAATTAATTGCAATATAAAGTATTTTATTTCCATTTTTATGATGAAACTGAACAACAGAGGAAAAGTCAATTTGAGAATATAGCTGTCAGGCTCAACTTCTGTTTTTATATTCTCATCAGTTGTTGGAATACTATTAATTGCTGCTACCACATATGGAATACCCATTGTGGCTCTGTAGTGAGCAATTTATAATGAGGATTTGAGATTATGGAAGTAATCCTTATTAGAAATTATATGTATATCTAAATTACCTAATCCTCATTAGAATCCTGTGGGGAACATACTCATATTGTCATCTGCATTGTACAGATGAGGAACTAAGGCCCAAAGAATTAGGTAACTTGCCCCAGTTCAACAATTAGGAGGTGAGAGAGCAAGAATGGGAATCCACGTGTGTCTGATTGTTTTTTGTTGCTGTTGTTAAGGTGGGAGCAGAGTTCAGTGGACCCTGGAAGAAAGAAAAGAATCTGGTACTTCAAACCTGAGTTAGTTTAAAAGGAAGGATGTTCAACTTAGTGGTATCTCTCTAAATCCTGCCACCTGCTATTTCACTATTTGAGGGGAAGGAGACCTTTTATACTGTGGTATTTTACAGGAAAAAAATAAACAATTAATCCAAAATGAGCACTAGGCTCACTCTCTCCCAAATTCCATCTTCTCCAGCATTAATCAAATTGATCTAATCTTTTGCTCCTACAAGAGACAGGGATATTCTCCAAAAAAAATTAAAAATATTTTCAGAAATTATTTCACAGAAAAATAGGTGATGGACAAGTTTGCACAGGTCTGGCTCAGTTGGTGAGCTGCCATAGAAAGAACAGCTTTAATTTTGTTCTTTATATATTTTTCACTTATTGGAAGTAGGGGACCAAAGGTGTCAGATAGTGGTTAATAAAAACACTGGAATCTAAAAATCAAGCCTTCTCCAAAGCCACAGCAGTGGAACTGCCAGGATGAATTGCGAGATTGACAGCATCCCAGAATATCCACACCTCCCACTGCAACATCTTCTGAGATCAACACAGCAATAACTATATTTCTGTTGTTCCAAGCACATTATTAAAAGCTAGGCTCCAAGAATTTGATGGTGTGCAGGATAGACATTGTCTCTTTCTGGTTCTTGCTGCTTACTGTTGTGAAACTTATGGCTGCATGTAGAAAATGTGATACAACAGTTCTATACAAGGTCAGAGAACATTATTCATTTAACAAATATTTATTTAATGACTAACGTGTATGAACTATTGTTCTCAATCCTGGAGATATTGTAGTGAACAATTTCTTGAAACATACATGCTAATGAGAAGGCATATAATTATTTATAAATCATTTTTTAAAATGGAATTTTTATTTGCAAAGCACAGTCATTATTTTTCACACTTGACACATCAATTTGGGGAAATTGAACTTAGGAGCTTTACTTTACAGAATTACATGCTCTGAAAACAATGGAAGGGATGAGTTTGATGATTTCTGATAGAGTAGGTGGTGAGAAGAGATGAAATTTCTATTTCTCAATTACTTGCATTTTGAAATGTCAGTACCATCTAAGACAGTAGGGAAGAGTGTGTGAGTACCAACTACTGTTTCTCAAACCTTCTAATGGAGATGAAGAGTCATGATCAGGAAAGCCGAGGCTGATCTCTATATGCTCATGAGTTTTTACATTGCTCTTTCTTGGTTGTCTGGTTCCCCTGCTGTAGCAGTCTAGAGAGAAATGATCTATTTTACTTTAAAAGCTGTACATGCCTATAAGCTCTAGATTTTATTCTGGGTCAAATTACAATTTACCAACTACAATTCACTGCATACAGAAAGCAGTCAAAAAACTGTTCATAATAAAGTAATGAGGAAAATGTAGAAAGGGATTTGACTGAGTGGAGTAAGGAAGCTATTAGTTAAGCCACAATTTCTACCTATTAACTTTCATTTACCTATTTTGCTAACTAAAATTTCAGCCAAATTGGCCATATTTTCAATGTTGAAAGAATAGACACAGATATGCATAAAAACAGACCATTCTTTAGAGCCATGATCTTTTCTTTGGCCTTTCGGACCTGTTGCCATTTTCTGACATTATTCAGTAAGCATTAGTTCAAAAATACACCTCACATTGCAGGTGGTTTTTATTCTTTGTTTGGAAATGTTATGTAAGTTCTCTATGCACTCTAATCTGGGAAGTTCTTCTTGGTTTACATGTAAAAAGGATAATTATTCAGGACAGAATTTAATTGCTTATTTCGCTTTGGTCAGAGGATGATATTCCAGAGGCTGAGGCAAAGAAATCTAACCAATGCTTTGCAACTTTTTTTGTGGTGCAGATCTCATAGAAAACAGTGGTATGTGTGCAGCACAGTGGAGTTGAGGAAGAAGGCTTCTTCCAAGCCAGGATTCCAGCAGCCCAAGGTCTACCCCCTGCCCCGTAATCTTCTAGACTCACTGTGGCCCATTTGTGTTACTCACTGGGCCACAGAACAGGGGCTGGGAAACTCTGAACAAAAGCACTTATATTTTAAACAATGCACACCTGAAATTAATTTTATTTTTCAAGAATTGCTTTTTGCCATGGGTGTTCAGAATTCTAAGCAGATACATAAGTCTGATTAACCTAAAAAAGTAAGTTATTTTCTTACCCTGAACATAATACATATACACTATAGAAAATATAAGTTATAAAAAAGAAGAAAATTGTAATCACCCTGAATTATACTACTTTATTCTTTCTTTAATTTTTGTTATATATTTTATCAATTTTTAATTTCATCAATATACACATTTTATTTAAAAAGAGAACACAACATAGGCTGTTTTATTAAATACCTTTAAGAGTTTCCTATTGTAAAATATAGAAGAAAGTTTTGTTTTGTTTTTTTTTTTTTCATTTCTCAATCATCAGGATTATACCTAACAAAATGCAGAATTTAATATACTTTCCCAGGTGCTATCAGAATTAATCATTAATATGTTCATTTGAAAAGGGATACTCCCTTTTCTGCATAACCAGAAAATAAAATACTTGCATGTCAATCCATATGGTCATGAGATTTACATTTTGAGAATTCTAATGCTCTTATATCCTATATAGTCATATATAATAGAGCAAGGACAAAGGCAAACGAAGAGAAGTATTAAGAGTTCAGCATCATAACCTTGAAGCCCATTTAAATTAATATGCATCATGAGCACTCAGATTTTGGTATTGCATATTATATAATGGGGTATTAGATATTAGGTAGTTGTGATAGGTTGTTCATCCTATGATATGCAAAATTGCAGATGAGAAAATTTAAATAAACTTGTGAAGCAGTGATTCAAAGACCCACTCAAGTCAAATACAGATTGATGATTTTCCATTAATTTTCCTTACCCCACATATTAACTAGTACCCATTTATAGCTTATCTTTAATGAGCTGTACACAATCTTTTGTATCAGTGAGGCTTATTCCAAGATATAAATCTTGTATCTCCACTTATTCATTCGCTTTCACTCTGAATTAGTAAGTGC